TGCTCTCATATTTCTTCTGTCCACTTTTTATGAATTTAGCTGTAGTATGACCAGATGCTCACTAATTCTCTTGTTTATATTAAATTGATATTTAATCAAAAATATTATTTGGGATCCTTCAAATTATTATAGATCACAGATTTCTGAAATTTTTCTGAAATTTTTTAAAATAAACAAGAAACTAGAAGAGCCGGTCATTAGAATACTTTATTAGTTATGTACATATTATTCTTTATGTAAATATTATTTATTTTTCTTTACTCCTTTCTTGACAAACATTGAGATTTTTAAAGATTATTTTAGTATGTATAAAACATTTAGCAATTTTTTGGTTGATTTCTAAATTTAAAGTCAAAATATAAAAAAGAACATAATAGAAAATTAAGGAACGGTTGTCTATAAAAACGTGAATAAAAGTAAACTAATAATTAAATTAATACACTCTGTAACAAAATGATAGCGCCACCTAGTTTTTATCGATATCCTACCAAATATTAAATGGATCTGTTTCAAATTTTGGTAGAATATAGATAAGGATATTATGTATCAATAATGGAAATAAAAAGTTTAATGCAGATTTAAAAAAAATTTTATAACAATAAATTTGATTTTAGAGTGTAACAAAAAGATAGCGCCACTTGTATTTTTGACCTTAGGGGTTGTCCGAAAAATCTAAAAAAATTCCAGTATACATATCTATTAATATCTATACTAAACACAAAAGAAACTAAGTTCCTATATAATTCCTTCATTGAGATCTTGAAACCCGAAAATCAACGGAAAACCGGGGTAGACGTCTTTAAAAAATATTTTCGACCTCTTACACGTGAAATAAAAATTTTATTTTCGGCTCATTTGAAAGCCCTTAAAATTTGCTACAAGATAGCATCAATTTTATTTACTGAAAAACATTTACCTTTAAAACATAATGTGATAAACTTTCATGTCATAAAAATCACTCAAACGCCCCCCAAAAAGTGATAAAAATGTGACTTATAAACTTAACTCATTATTTCTCAAAAAAGAATTTTTTCTGGGTTATGAGATAAAAACTAACTTGTAGCAAATTTCAAGGGCTTTCAAATAAGTCCAAAATTAAATTTTTATTTTACCTATAAGGGGTCGAAAATATTTTTTAAAGACGTCTACCCCGGTTTTCCGTTGATTTTTGGGTTTTCAGATCTCAATGAAGGAATTATATCAGAACTTCATTTCTCTTGTATTTTCTACAGATATCATAGATATGTCTACAGGAATTTTTGTAGATTTTTCGGACCACTCCTAAGGTCGATAATACAAGTGGCGCTATCTTTTTGTTACACTTGAGAATTAAATTTATTATCATAAAATTTTTTTTAAAAATTGCATTAAACTTTTTCTTTACATTATTGATACATAATATCCTTACCTATATTCTGCCAAAATTTGAAACACATCCGTTACATATTTGTTAAGATATTGATAAAAAACTAGGTGGCGCTATCATTTTGTTACAGAGTGTATTAAACCAAGGCCTTATACTTATTTTGTGGAAGAAGAGGGTTTTGCGTCGGGATTGTCGGGGAAGAGCCTTCGGGGTTCGGATCAGGGTTTTTGACAAAAAATCCGTCGGGGTTTCGGGGGTCGGGTTGCTACCCTTGTTGAAACCATCACCTGAGACGTTTAAGTATGGTCCAAACAATAAAGTTTAATCTAATCAACTTTTTGCAAAAAAAATTAATTTAAATTTATAAAGAATGGATTAAATAACTCGAAAATCTCAAAAAAGAGATAAACAATATGGAAATTATTCTTCGTATTTTGTTAATTAATTAACAAAATTTTTAAAATATTTGTTTTGTTTATTTTGTATAAATGTCATGCTGTCACAGTTTTTGCATAAACATGGAGGTGTTGGTGCTTCTACAGGTTTTTTCTCCAACAAATTATTATTGTTCTTTGACAGAGAAGAGGCAGAAGAACTTGGGGTTATAAATTATGTTTAAGATTATAAATTTTGACTATATTTATAATACTAATATTTGTCTATGACAAAGTTTTATATTTCCGAAATGTAACGAACCTATTTGTACATATATGGGCTTGTGTCATTTAGGATATTGATTAAGTTTGGACACTTCCGGTTATTAACCGGTACCCTCGGATTCCGGTTTCAGTTCGGTTAATCATTTGTGTCCAACCCTATTATTGATATTAGTTATACAAAGATGTCATGCACTTATGTTATGTTTTTGCCAGGCCCTCCACTTATTGAGCTATCTGTGCTTCTAGAATGTTCAAATTATTCACGAAGGGCTGTTAATTTATTATACATACTTGATTTCTGCTTAATTATATTTTGCAGAATAAATTTGTAAAATTTACCCAAAAATGTTTTGGAATTGACTCATCACGAACTGTGCCAAATTTCTCATGAAATTGGCACTGTCTTTGACCATTTGCTCTTCAAATTCACGCATTTCTTGAAGATATTCCTCAATTTGTTGTTGTTCCTCCGATGTAGGTGTACGTTCCTCACCATTATCGTTGATTACACCATCCTAAATTAATTTTAATATTTACTGAGATAATTTATATTTTATTTTGAACTATTTTAGTTTTGAATAAAAATTATATTATGAGTAGGGTTGCCGTTTTCGAGTCGGGCCGACGGTCGAGTCATTTTTTTCGGGCTTCATTTCTATCGAGTCGGGTCTCGGGCCTCATCTTTATCGAGTCGGGTCATACGAGTCTTTTTCGGGCCTCATTTTTATCGAGTCGGGTCAAACGAGTCTTTTTCGGGCCTCATTTTTATCGAGTCGGGTCAAACGAGTCTTTTTCGGGCATAATTTTTATCGAGTCGGGCATCGAGACTTTTTCGGGCCTTTTCTCAAAAAGATTTATTCAAAAAAACAAAAATAATTTTGCTTATTTGTCATCAAAAATAAATCATATTAACTAGAGTCCGGCAAAATCGCATTCCCGGGATCCCGGAACGGGATTTTTTTTCAAAATTTTGTACGGGACGGGATCCCGCGGGATTAATCCCGTAATCCCGGTAATCCCGTTTTAAATTCCCGGGATCCCGCCGGGATTCCGGGATTTTTACAAAAAAATTTCTACGTAATAGATATCGGGGATATTGGTGTATTTGGAGGGATATCAGTGGATTTGGAGGGGTATCAAAGAATTTGGAAGGATATCGGAGGATTAGCAAGGATATCTGAGGATTAGTAAGGATATCGGAGGATTAATAAGGATATCGGAGGATTAATAAGGATATCGGAGGATTAGATGCGGAGATGCGGATTATGAGGTCAGTTTGGGCGGATTAAGAGGTCATTATGAGGTCATCCTTGATCCACCTTAATCCTCCTTTCTTCGAATCCCCATTAATGCCTCCGAATCCACTGATATCCCTCTTAATCCCCTCAATTTCTCTTGAGACTTCTCTTTATCCCTACAAATCCCCTGAGATCTCTCCAAATCATCTTAATCCCTGTAAATCTCTTATCCATCTTAATCCTCATATCTTCAAATCCTTCTTCACTAGGGTTGTTCCCCGACGGGGGGGGGGAGGAGGGCCACGGGGATCTTTTTTACGCCTTCTTCATTTTTTGCGCCGCAGGCGAAAATTTTGAGGATTTTGGAGCTCAAGAAGCCAGATTTCTTCCATTTTTTGCGCAGCAGGCGAAAATTTTGGGAATTTTGGAGGTCCTTAAGCCAGATTTCTTCCATTTTTTGCGCTAAAGCTGAAAAATCTAGAGTTTTGAATTTCAAAAAATAATATCAAAGGTTTAAAATCGTCCCTTGTATTAAAAAAAGTTAAAATAATCTGAAAATAAGTCTCAAACGATGATTAGTACTCGAACCCAACAATCCTTTAAATAAAATCCAGCGCCTTAACCACTCAACTAACCGCTCATTTAATTAGTTCTGAAAGAAAATATATTTCCCTTACTCAGTAAAAGAAATATCAAAGAGGAAGATCCAAAAGGAAATATTTATCGAGGACATTCGAGTCGGGCCAGTTTTTTCCGAGTCATTATTCGGGCTTCATTTTTATCGAGTCGGGTCAAACGAGTCTTTTTCGGGCCTCATTTTTATCGAGTCGGGTCAAACGAGTCTTTTTCGGGCATAATTTTTATCGAGTCGGGTCAAACGAGTCTTTTTCGGGCCAAATATCCTAGGCCCGACTCGATCTTTCGGTCCGAGTCGGGCCATTTTGGCAACCCTAATTATGAGAATTTCTAGTTTAATAAGAATGGCTTATAATAATGTATGATCGATAAGTTGCTTCCTTTAAAAAATGATAACCAAGGGTGCGATGGTAGACTTGATAAACAAGCAAACTTTAGAAGGCTTTCAGATCCGGATATTTAGAGCGAGGGGATTTTTCGTTAAGAAATCGAACCTCATACACGCATCCTTGACCATCACTTTCATTGTTATCATTATCATCTTCATCATTAGCATATTTTGCAGTTGTATTAATATCCAATCCATTTCCATAATTATCTTCCGCAGGAAATTCATCTTCTATACCGGATCCTTCATTATTTAGTTGATCTTCCTCATCTTCCTTAATTTTTTCTGTTGTGTATTCATTAATGCGATTATTCTCTTCGTTATTTAACGGAGGCAATGCATCTGTATCATCTTCTTTAATAAATTGCGGGTCTTGAAGATTTTGCTTGTCGATCGATTGGATGGTTGATGATCATTATCATTCTGTACAAATTTATTATTTAGAAAAAAGGGTACAGTATTTTTTCTAATTAAGCCATGATTTATAGCTGAAGGCCCGTATCCATTAAAGTGCTCATATAGTTTTTTTTCATTTTTTTCATCTCTCCCCCGTATTGAAAATTTCTAATAGATCATGATTAAGAATGAATTACTCAAAAACACTAATTTGCATAGAATTAAGAATTTTTTATTATTTTTATTATAAAAAATTTCAAGAGTTAACTTTGATTGTTATTGAATTTTTTGAATATGTAGTTATAAAATAATTTTATTCAGTTATTCTTTACCTCTCGAACATCAACAGAGTCGGAAAACTCATCACTTAACTTATTATTAGAATTTTCATTGCTACTGTCTTCGCTATTAGAATCTTCAGCAATAATATTGTTTATAATTAAAAGCAAAATTAAAATTTTTAAAAACATTTTTAATTAAGAAACTTTGGGTCTTTTTAATTTTAAATGTCAATTGAAGCATTATCTAAGCGTTTTTATTTTCAAATTAACTCAAGGATAAATTTAAGTTTATTTAGATTTTGCCTTTTTCCTTATTTTGAAATTGAAAATTACTGACTGAATAAAAAAATCTGTTTACTTCAAAATTTAATTTTTTAAATTTCATCCTTCTATAGACTTATTTTTCAGCATTATTGGGAAATATCAGTTGATATTTTGAATGACTAATAAATATTATTGAAGGTAGATGATTTGAAAAAGCTGAACAAATAAAACTAATAAAAATTCAAAGTGCAGATTTATTGGGAAATTATTGACTAAAAAATTTTAAATTAAAATAATTATTTTGAAATAATAAATTCGTCATCTATTCTTTATTTCCTTCTAAATATTTTTTAATTTAATTTTAAATTCTAAAATTTCAAATCAAAAACTAAAAAGATTAAGAATATATTTTGTATTTACAATTCTACTTATTTTATTTTTTCTTGATCGATAAAGATCTGAAAACAATCGTTTATGCCTCTAATTATCAGGGCGGCCCTTTTACCCTATTTACAGGGATTTTCCCTATTTTTGACCTTTTCGCCCTATTTTTTCCCTGTTCTCTCATTTGCCATATTTTTGCCCTATTTTTGAGTGGCTGGCCCTATTTTAGTGTTTTGGAAAGGGCCACCCTGATATTTATATAAATGAATTGTTTGCAAGACCTTCAAGCTCACCAGGTAACCGTAACAACACTCTCCCCCGCACTTAAAATTTCTACGAGACTTGTACACCTCCGTCAAGACTTAGACTTCCTCAACAATGTTATTTATTATTAAAATTATAGATATCATTCTCTTGAATTATATATTTAATTAATATGTCAAAAAGGACAAATTGCAGGTGCCAATTAATCTCAACAAATTACCACCTTAAAATTATTTTTCACGACAATAGACTTTAAGCAAATATTTATTAAATTATTTTAATGGCAGGTGTGTTTAATTGTAAATATAAACAGATTACGTTAATAATAAATAATTTATTTTGTATTAAAATGTTTCTTAAGAATTTTCTTTTTATTATATTAATTTTTTATTTGAAAATTTTATAATTAATTAAAATAAAATTATATTAAAAAATTAATTTAATTATGGACGGCAAAACTTACTATAGTGTAAGTTTATTTGTGTTAAACATTTAATTTATCAAGAAGATACAATTGATAAAATATTTCATTAAAATAACAAAAAAAATTCATAAAACATGAAAAAACTAGGGAAGAGGTCTGAACAAAGATCTAAATCCAATAAAATTTTTAAAATAAAATTTAATTTAAAGCCAATCTACTCTACATATAATGAAAAAGGTTTTATGCAAAAATTATTTTTGAATGCTTTATTTATAAGTTTATTTGCATTAATTTCAATTATAATGAATTCAAGTGTTTGTTATATTACAATAAAATATAGGTATGGATATAAATAAATTAAGATTTTTGTACTCGCACTGATATAATGTTAATGATGGGTTACGATTCATACTGTTTTAAAAGTATTCTACTTTTAAATCGACCTCCATACTTACGAAATTGAATTTGTACTTTTTTGAAAGTATCTACTTTTAAATCAACATTTAGGATTGAAAATGAAATTGGGGAAGGGATTGGGCATAAAAGTGAATCTTTTTGGCCTACGGCATTCGAAATTCTCAAAATTTTCGCCTACGGTGCTGAAAAAGGAAGAAATCTAGCTTCTTGGGTCCAAATTTAAAAAAATTTTTGCCTGCGGCGCAAGAAATGGAAGAAATTTGGCTTAAGGACCTCCAACATTCTCAAAATTTTCGCCTGCAGCGCAAAAAATAGACGCCTAAAAAAGTCTATTGGCGCCTAAAAAAGTGCACGAATAAATATTTTTTATTTAATTTTAAGTATACTTTTTATTTGCAAATTTTCTCCCTGTATACTTTTTAATCAAGATTTTGATACTTTTGAGTGGCATTTTGTCGATCGTAACCCTGTGTTAATGGGGATGAGAGATCAAAAATTTTAATTTGAGAATTTTGGACGTGGGCTGGGACGAGGAATTTTCAAAAAAACTCTTAAATTCTCCGACTTTGGGGGACGGGGAATGAGACAAATTACAACCCTATCTGCAACACTTCCAATTTCTGTTACATTAGGCTGTCCATCATTTCTCATAAAATTATTTTAATTAATTATTAGGAAAAAATATACAGCATTAAGGAGTAATACAAGTATTTTGCTTGTAATTTACGCCTTATTTGAGATTTTGTTCAATACGGTAATATTTTTTTATTTGGCAACATCGACAACTGGAATTAATTTTCTTCCAAATTGGTTATCCAAAATCTATATATTTTATGTAATAATTGTATTCAATACTTCGACTTTTATGTTACTTTTAATTAGCATTGATCGCTTAGTAGGCGTTACTTTACCTATATTGTAAGATTTAATAAATATTTAGATCTATTAAAAACAAAAATTAAACTTATTAGGAAATTTTAGTGACGGAAATTTTTTAAACCAAAAAATATAAGAAAACCCTAAAAAGTTACAATACACGTACATGGAATTTCGAATTTACAAACTTGGACAAAACGGAAGGTTCAAATATTTTTTTGGTCGAGAGTTCCGAAAAAAGGAAGTAAAAATTGCTGATAAAATTCATGAATTCCTAATATTCAATTCCTGATACCCAAAATCTAAAATTTAATTTTCATGCCGGCCTGATCTTTGGTCGCAACTAGGAGTCTAAAACAGTTCTTGAACTTAAAGTGGTATTAAATAAAAATTTCAGATACAATAACATGAAACAAAGGAAATATATAATTGTTAATATATTATTAATAACCTTGTACAATATCTTTATCTTTTTCATTGGCATTTTACCCGTATGCGAAAAATATGGAAGTTTTAGAATACCAGGCAATCCTATGGATATCGCGATAATTATTTCATCAACCGGTCAAATTCGTAATGTGATCCCTTTAATTATTTACATCATTACTTTACTGAATTATTTATTCGTTGGAATATTAACAAAGTTTGTAACAGGTACGATTTGTCATACTAAAAATTATTATTATGTTCATGCTGAGGAAATACAGTTCGTTTCATAAATATAACACCACCTTGAAAGCGTGGTTGCTCTTATTTACAAAGGGGGGGGGGCTTCCTGGAGGGCTCAAAAGAAAATTTTTATATAAGACCTAAGGGGGTAAAAATATTTTTTGATGTACTGTACCCCGATTTTTAGTTGATTTTCGAGATTTGAGATCTCGATGAAGAAAGTAGTTATAGACTTTGTTCTTTTTGCTTTTCGACTCAATATCGATGGAATTTTCAGAGGAAAACTTAGGGGTGCATCATTTATAAGGTATATCCTTTGTAAAGTTAAAAGAAGAAGATAGGGGAGTAAAATGAAACATTTGGAGATATTTTATATCTATAATATCATTTAGATTTGCATCATGAAACAATTAAGAAGCTTTATCGATCTCTATATCTTATTGTTTTTGTGAATATTTGTTCTTGCCTTATTTTCTATCTCGTAGGAATGCTACTACTTGGATTTTCAATCGAAAACGGCATAAATGAAGAAATTTGGTTTATATTATCATATTCTACAATTATATACTGTTTTGGCTCGGCTTCAAATGCACCAATACTTTTTATTAATAGGTAGATTTAAAGAGTTTAAATAAATTAATTTAGAAATTAAATTAATAGTACTGACTACAGAGAGGCTTATTTAAAGGAATTTGCTTTAATTAAATCTTTTTTCAAACGTATATTCACTAATTCTGTGACTCCATCAACTGTTAATGCCGTAGCTAATGTTCAAAATTAAGTTAGAAAAATTTTATTTGAACAGTATAGAGTAGTCAAAAAGACACTTTTATTCAAAAATAAAATATTTTATCAAAAATTACTAAACAAATATTGTTTAATGTTAATTTACTTGTAAACCCTATAAAGAATAAAAAGAATTATATAATTGAAAATTGTTTTGAACTTCTAACTTTCCTTTACAATAAACTTTATTTAATTTCTATATTCTCTGTCTTAATCCATAATTGTTTTGCTTTTATTCACAATGTCGTCTTTAAATCAGATTAAATAGAAATATTTTAATTAATTAAAATATTAAATTTACCCAAAGTTCCAGTGTATCGCTTAAAAATTTTTTGAAAGAAATTAGATTTCAAATTAACCAAAAACCTGATTTCCAAATTCTTCGTTTGGTAACATTTTTCCCAAGTTTTGATTAATTGATGTGTTTGAATTTTCTGTGTGGAAAACATTTGTTGATTTATTGACATGTTTGAGTTGTATTTTTCTTGAGAATTTTGGGACACAGGAGGAATAAATGTTGGGTTACTATGGGTGTTTTCATTCACTATTTCAAATAGTGTTTTTCCAGACGAAGTATTAGGTTTGAAGCTGTGTTGCAGGTTGCTTGGTGTATTTTGAACCAAGTGTTTATTTTTTAAATTCTGCATTAAAAGAAGTTGATGAATTTTATCCAAATCTTGAAAATCCTTTACTACTTCCTGCCATCAATCTTCGGTATGTTGGTCAGAATTAAAAGAATTTCCATAATTATGCAAATTCATATTATTTTGTTCGTTTAAGTTTATGATTTTTCTTTAATTTTTTGATTTTTCTTTAATTTTTGATTTTTCTTTAAAGTGATTTTTCTTTAATTTTTTTCACTATTCCTTTAAATTGCTAGGGGTATATTCAAAGATCGGACAAGTTAGACAAGGTTTGGGTCAACCATGTTACAATTCGTGATATGTTTACAAATTTATATTTAATAAATAAAACAACCATGAATGTTGTATATTCCATTACTTGAATCTAGAAAATTTTTTCTTTTTTAATAAAATTGTTGTTCTACTAATTCAAGGTTTAATAAAAACTTTTAAAGGTATCTTATTTACTTGATATTTCATAT